ACATCTGTCCTTGTCATGATCCTTGAAGACAGGTCAGGTACCACCTTTTTCTATAAAGCCTATTCTACTCCTGATATGAAAGTGTTCTCTCTTACTTCAAATTTTCCTCAAACACTTTTCTCAGTCCTTATTCTACTTGACTCTTTTTGACATTTTTTCTCCCCTGGCTTCCATGACATTGCATTCTCTTGGTTCTCTTCCTGCCTATCTGCCACCTCCTATCTAGTCTATGTTGCTGGATCACCATGCTGCTCCAATTCATTAAGTATGGTTGTGCCCTAAAGGCTCTATTTGGGTTATTTTCTCATTCTTTCTTTCTTAGTGATCTCATCAACTTCCATACATTAAATTGTCATCTCTATAGTTCTGAATTCTACAGATTCAGTCCTAATCTTACTCCTAAATTTGAATAACCAACTCCCATTTAGATATCTCAACTTGGATGACCCTTAAGTATATAAAATCTAACATGTCTGATATTTCCCCCAATCCCATACCTTCTTCAAAGTTTCCAATTTATGCTGAGGACACCATCATTCTTCTAGTCACACAAGTTTGTAACTTTAGAGTGATCTTCCACTCTTTATCTTCTTAACCTTCCATGTTCAGTCAGTTACCAAGACCTGTCAGTTAGACAACATTTCTCACATCCACATCCCTCCACTTGTATAGCCAATTACTTGTTCAGGCCCTTATCACCTCTCACCTGGGCTATGTCAAAAAAAGCCTTCTAATTGGTATCCCTGTTTCTAATTTCAGCCCTCTACAATTTCTATCCTCCACACAACTACCAAATTGATATTCCTAAAACAAAGATCTATTCATGATACTCTCCCTACTCAAGAAAACTTCAGTGGCTCTCTATTATCTCTAGGATCAAATTTAAAAATCCTCAGCCTGAATTTAAGGCCTTCTAGCTATCTTTCCAGTCCTATTTCATGAGATTCTCCTTCATGCACTCTTCATTCCAGTAAAACTAATCTGCAAACTAACCCATCTATACACAATTCCATCTCTTCCCTCCATGTCTTTGTACAAGGAATCCCCCATGTCTGGTATGTATTTCCTTCTCTTGGAATCCTTAGTTTCCTTAGAAATATGTAGCTCAAATACCTCTTCCTGTGGGAGAACTTTCCTGATTCCCTCCTCATCCCTCAACCTTCTTGTTAGGGTCTTTTCCCACTTGAAATTACCTTATTTATACTTGATATTTACTTATCTGTGTATTGGTTGTATTCTTGCAATCTAATGGAAGCTCCCTGAGGTAAGCGAGTGTTTTGTCACTTAACATAAGACCCTCTACACTCTGAACTTGTTGTTAAGTTGTTTCTGTTCTATACAACTTTGTGACCCCATTTGGGGTTTTCGTAGCAGAGACACTGGAGTGGTTTGCCATTTCCTTCTCCATCTCATTTTACAGATGAAGAAACTGAGGCAAACAGGATTAAGTGACTTTCCCAGGGTCACACAACTAGTAAGTATCTAAAACCAGATTTAAACTCCGGAAGATGAGTCTTCCTGTCTCCAGGCCTAACACTCTCTCCACTGTACCACCTCTACATATGAGGCACTTAATAAATGTTGAGTTAAACTGAACAAGCCTCTCCTTTGCTCTCATCTCTATCATGTTGTTATTGTTCTATGTGTCAGATCCCTTCTTTTTCTCCCAGAAGAAAACAAGTTATTTGAAGATGGACTCTGTGGTAGAAACAACATTCTATGGCCTTATCCCACATAGGCTAAGCTAACTTTTTTCTTAAAAGTTATTGAAACCATACTGAAAGCTTATCTAGCTCAAGAATGGGCAAGGGAAGCGGGAAAAAACAAATAAACAACATTTATTAAGTACCTACTGTGTGTCAGGCACTGTGCTTTATAAATATAAATAATATATATAGCATATTATGATACATATTATTTTATAATTTATTTATTATAATTTATAATATTATTTTATAAATATAAATATAAGTGCTTTATAAATATGTTCTAATTTAATGATAATAATAATTAGTATTTAAATAGTACCTTCTATGTGCCAGGTACTATGCTAAGCACCTTAAAAATATTATCTCAATAATAATAATAGCTAGCATTTATCTAACACCTACTATGTGCCAGGCATTCTGATAAGCACTTTTTGCAAATATTATATCATTTGATCCTTACAACAACCCTGGGAGGAAGAGCTATTATCAACCCTATTTTACAAGTGAGGAAACTGAGGCAGTTAAGTGACTTGCCCAAGAACACACAGCTAACAAATATCTGAGGTGACATTTGAACTCAGATCTTTCTGACTCCAGCCCAGATCATTTGATCCTAATAATAACCCTACAAGAGAGGTACTGTTATTATCTCTATTTTACAGATGAGGAAATTGAGACAGATAAAGTATAAATTATTTGCCCTGGGCAACATAGCTACTAGACGTCTGAGCTCAAATTTGAACTCGAGTCTTTCTGACTCCAGGCTCAGCACTCTATCTACTGGACCTCTTAGGTGGCAGAAGAGAATGAAGGCCATTGCTGTAGCTCCTTAGTGGCCAACAAACAAACATTCAGGGCACAAGAAGTCACCTGGATTATCCCTCGGGTTTCCAACTAACAGACCAATACAGGTACCTGGAATCTCTATCCAATTGACTCAATACCATATCCTCACTGAATATACCCTGCTACTACTAAGTAAACCTCCTTGTGTTACCTCTCAGATGTTCTAAGAGTGTTCCATTTTATTTCAGTCTCAAAATTTAGCTACCAGACAGGCCTGAATCAGGCCATAGCTTTGCTTTTTTCTCTATCCTATATTTATGAGTGCCTTTCACCTAGTGGATACAATAAATGGTTTTTTTAATTTGTTTAATTAAATCCATGGAAGATAAGAATAAAACATTACTTAATCACTCAGCTACCTCATAGAAAATACTGTAAATAATCTAGGAAATAATGTAAATAATCACCAGGGCTCTATGAAAAGTAAATAGTCTGGACCAATTAAATTTCTTTCTAACAATAAGCCCCATGAGACTTGTTGAATAATTTTAGATGTACATTCAAAGGAAATAATTTTCAAAAATCATCACTCTGTAAAACAGTCCATTTTAATATCCTATTTCCTCAAATAACAATAATTTATATAGTGCTTTGATTTTTAGAAAGCAGTTCCTCACAATAACCCTGTGAGTTTGGTACTACAAACATTATTCTCCCCATTTCACAGGTAAGGAAAGGGAAGTCCAGAGGCAATCTACTTGACCAAGATCAGATGGTGAGGAGGGACACAAAACTAGATCTTTTAACAAACAACCAGGTCAAGAGAAATCATCTGGCTTATCCATCAGGTTTCTGACTATCTGAAAGTCTAATGCATTTCTCAGCTGCTCAAAATCTTTTGAAACTTACCCAACCTGCTCCAAGAAGAGAGGCTGAGCCCAAAGTGCCCTTTACAAGCCTGTTCCCCACCTTTCTTTAAGAACTCATGATCACCCCACCCCACCACCATCACGCAGCTTTGGTATGAATAGAATTCTGCTTTTTAAGATTAACAGCTAGACTCATTTAACAGAAGATAAGGGCTCTCTGTTCAGCCACACAAGGAAGTATCATTTCCTCAATATGGTCTCAAAGAGATTTAAAATTAAAATGATTCTTTTATTGACTTCAAGAACTTTAAGTCCAGGCACACTTAACTATTATCTAAGAGTCACCTTATCATAGGATCTAGAGGAACAAAGGATAATAGCAATTATCTCATCTAGTCCTTTCATTTTATAGATAAAAATCTCGGTGAAGATAGGATTCTCAGGCCTAGTAGTCAGTAACGCATATTTCACATAATGGATATTCACCAAACATACCTTCTGACTTAAGGATGGTATTTACATAGATGGATACATGTTTACAATACACATATACACATGTTCTTTATAAGGCCTGTTAGCAAATAACAGCAACAAAATCTAATAATAGTACGTCAACTCTACCCTGAGGAGCTAATTAACTCCTCATACAGCCAAAATCCGGCATGACATTTGGGTTTTTACAATTCAACCACAAAGTGACAAGACCCAATCTACAAGACTCATTTTGAAAGTTAATTTCATTACTTTATAGACTTGCTCCATATGTTGTAGTAACACATTAAGATAACTGAGGCTAAGGAATTTCCGATTTCAACATGATTTATAATTCTTTTCCAGTGGTGGAATGTTGTTTATTTAGAATTATAGAATCAGAGAATGTTAGAGTTAGAAGAGACTTTAAAAGGGAGACCTATCCAAATCCCTCGTTTTATATATGAGAAAGTTAAAGGTAAACATGGTTGTAATGATTTGTCCAAAGCCACACTAAAAAGGAAGTTATGGGCAGAAGTGGAAATAGCACCCAGGTATCCTGATGTCAAGTCAATGTCTTTCTCACTATGTTGCATTTTTGTTACTAAACATTTTCATTTACCATGAGCAAATAACACTGAGAAAGTAATGAGTCTAGACCAAAAGGAATCAAATTGTTATGAGAAAAAAAAGACTAAGGAATCAGGAAACCTGGATCCTGGTCCCAGCTCTGCCACTAATTCATGTATGACTTGGGCAAATCATTTTATCTCCCTACTCTTTATGTTCTCATCTATAAAATGAGAAGGCTGGATAAGAGCATGGTTAAGATCTCTTTCACCTCTAACATTTTATTATTCTATGATTTAACTTGCATAAATAATATAAGAATTCAATCAAAATGGAAAAGCAGCCCAAACCTGGGTAATTTTTCTATATGACAAAAAGATCCAGATGTTTGGAAACATCTAGATGTTTTTACTGACTTGTTATGCTTTTAGTTAAATGTTTGGATTTGTAAAGATCTCTCCTAAAAATGGAGTTCAAAGAAAATCTCACTGAGTAGCATTTAGATATTTTTTAAATACTTGAAGGAATATAGTAAAATATATATAATATATATTACATATAAAATATAGTAAATATCAACCCAAAAATGCCATACCTGCAGGATAGACCACAAATATGGAAGGAAAAAGAAGACAATTTTGATTTCTACACCTTAAAAATAAAAAAAACAAACAAATAAACACAAAAAAACTCCACTTTAATATAAAATTCCAACCATAAACGTCTATCTCTTAAGTTTGGGGCTATTGCAAATGTTTAAAATGCTTTCATTCATTCAAGGACAAGTTATCAAATTCTTTAATAAAACATTGTGATTTGAGCATATATGTCTGGAGATCTTCTCCATGTACTCCAGCAAATACCACAAAATCTCCGAATCTGGTGGTTTTAAGGTTAGTGTACACTGTGCTCCAAGACATCCCCTTTGGAGAACACGTTCCTGCTAGCCAAACACACTTGGACACTCTGGACTTAATTCCTACTATGCTAAGTCAAAATGTTAATGATGGACAAAACCAGGCAGAAGGAAGGAAAATGAACTAACCTACCAAATTAAAAAAAAAAAGACTGTTAAAAATAATTTGCCTATTCATATCAAAGAGCTTCTAAAACTGGTTTTTCAGGACTTGGTTGGGGATATTTCTGTCTTGAAACAAGAAACAGAAGTTGGATGTTGCCCCCCCCCCCCATAAATTAATCACCTGCTAGGTTAGAACTCCGGATTTTATGTGAGGCAGTTGGCACTCCATACAGAAAAATCTGGAGGAAAATGAAAGAAAAAAATCTTTAAGCCACCCCATCGTCACCCCTTAGTCAAGCCTACCAGAGAGACTAATCGTGTACTTTTTTTTTGTTGTTGTTGTTTTTGGCATCCACCTATGACATCTGGATGAGCATCAAATTGCTTAGATCAAGAATAACAAAGCTACCAGTAACTGAACAATACTTGCTTAAATAATTTTACTAAAGTTATCATCTATCAAAACAGAGATTGCTTGTTCAATTATTAAGTATTCAGAATTGAGAAATAAGCTAGTGAGAGCTGGTCTAGCCCTTCCTTTTAAAAGACATGATCCATATTTGCTCAGGATTCCCCAGATGAAATCTCTCACAATAAAAACTGAATAAACTATTTATCATGATACCTAACAACATATGAAGTTGCAAAGAAACTAGGAACAGTATGATCTAAAAAACCACAAGGACTACTAATGGGAAAGAGCTACTCTGTAAAGGCTGGCTTAGTAAACCGGTCAAAACTTAAGTAAAAGGAAAAGTTCATTAGTAAGAGCTCCAGTTTAAGAGAAGGATAAGTGATGCAAGAAATCTATCTCATTTATTTGCACTGGTAGAATTCACCTTACCTCCTTTTAGCAGAGAGCCAGGGCTTCGTAGGTAGATGGTCTGGAGTGGTTCCCCAACCTGAAACTGAGGTGTAGCTAAAGATGACTGGAGGTGGAATCAACCTCTATCTGACTGTTTTAATGAATAGTTTAGAGGCTTCTCCCTCAATGGCTGAGTCACTCAGGGAGGAGGAGGTGAGTAGTGTGAAATAGGGTGCCACCTAGAACAAATAGCAATTCAATTAAAAGCAGCAGAGTCCCTGAAACTTCTATCCCGGGTGAATTCTTTATGCAATTTATGTCCTTATTGTGCCAAAAATTATACCTATCAACACATTTTGTTGATGCCAATGAAATAGTGCAATTGTTCCACTATGTAATTGGGAGAGTATCCAACTATTATTTAAAAAAAAAAAAAACTTAGTTTGGAAAGGCTGTCCATCTTGAAAGGTGATGCATAGGTACAAGAAGGAATCTAGGCACCCTGAAGGAAAAGTGCTCCTTCAGGAGAGAAAAGTTCTAAGAGTGCATGTATTCAGGAGGACAGTCCAGAGATATGTGTTATGCAAATATTGACATATGGAACATTTTGTTATATGGTATCAGGCACGAAGATACCACCTGAACAAAATTTGTTTTCCTGGATAGAAGGAGTGGGGAAGAGAAAATATGAGAATTTGAAATCTCCTACTACAGTTCCTATGAATAAAGAGTGTGAAGAAACAAAGTATTTTAGGTTTTTTTCATGTTTGAGGGAAGTTAAATATTTCATTATTCTTTTATTCTTTTTTCAGAGGGTACCTTGTTAGAGGATAAGAAACAAGTCAGAATGACTAGTGTCTTGGGTGAAGACTACTATAAAATACTCCCTAATGAACATATTTTATAATAACAAACATTTTCTGTCATTCAAGAAGCTTTCCAGACGTTCACCTTTAATAAAAGAAGTCAGTTCTTTAGAGTTTCTGAAATATAAAATCAATGAATTTTAGAGATAGAAGGGGCTTTTGAGATCATTTAGCCATCTTTCTTCATCTGCCACACAATTAACCAAGTTCTACCAGTTAAGCAGGTCTGCTACACAGTACAATTCAACTAGGACTTAGTCAATGATTATAATAATAAGCAGGAAAGTTTAACATTGTAGAACATAGTCATTAACAATATTCAACCAGTATTAGGGGAGCCACCACACCTGCTCTGGGGAATAAAAAGTATTTTTATGCAATAAAACAAAAAAAATCCATAAAATTCTATTATTCAGTATTTCTATGCCACCTGATATATGTGAAGCAAGTTACAAACATATTTACTAGTTATTTCTCACAATGCCATGATGTTGATAGGTCAGTAACATTACAGAGGAAAATAACTGAAAAAGATGTGACACCCCAAATTAGAAAACAAATTAGTAGGAAGGCATAGGATTAGAATTTACCAAACTGAATGCCACTGAAATTTGCATCACTTTATAGGGACAAGAAGAAACTGAAACTAGAGGAGTCTTGAAGGAAACTTTATCCATCATAAAAATATTTTCTTACATATGTGATATATTGTGTGCATTATGTAGAGGTAATGAGGCCCTGTGGACAGAGGGGACAAGGAAAGGCTTTGCTCAGGTGGAGGTTCTAGAGCAGATCTTGAAGAAAACCAGGGGGGTGCCCTGCACCAAAAAAAAAAAAACAAAATTTTAAAAAACCCTAATTTTTTTTTTGAATGCTCAAAAAAGTTTCAAGGCCACTGTACTAAATTTTAGATCTGCGTGATTGGACGATGTTCCTTGATGTATATCTGAAAACATTAATACCAGAGGAAAAAGGGTTCACCTTGCAAGGTGAATATATATAATACACATTATGATTTTGGTGACTGTAGAATCTAATATCTGCATAGAATTGGCAATTGTCTTATTTATATTTCACCTACCAGCATTCCCATCTTCTATCTCTTTGTTTTCTCTAAGCCCCAAATCTAAGAAAACAAATGCCATTTCCAAATACATAACCCAAATTGATATAGCCTATTACTGAAGAAAATGTTAAAAAATATTGGGTTGCATAAAATTAAAGGACCAGGTTAGGGAAGCCTGATCAGTCCATGATTAAGTAGGTAGAATATTCTTGCTTTGACTTCACTCAGGTCTTAAGAAGTGAAGTCTTCTAAACAATGTCTAACTCAAATAGAATCAGAGCCCTGCAGTCACATATTGACTTAGAAAACCTTAAATTAATATTATCTACATCGTATTGTATTTTTATTACATTTCCCAATTACATTTTAATCTGATTCTGGATGAACTTGGGAGATTTTGCAGGGCACTTTTTCCAGTGGGATGAGATTTGAACAGTATAAAGGGATTATTTGAGTGTATCATCTTTGGAATGTTTTTGGAATCTCTCTCTCTTTCTGTCTTTCTGTGTCTCTCTGTGTCTCTGTATCTCTGTGTCTGTCTGTTTGTCTGTCTCTCACTCTAACTCTCTTTTTCAAGTGGGAAGAAAGGATAGATCTGTGATTTCATCAATAAACCTAACAAAACAGATTAGTGCCTTCTCTGTAATTTATAATCTTAGGGAGTTGCCCTGGATTAGGTGACTGTCCTAAGATCACATAACCATTACGTATAGAAGGGATAAGAACTGAACCCAGGTGTTCCTAAGTTCAAAGTCAGCTATCTATTCACTACACCATGTTGCATCTGAAAAAGACTCTCATAAGGAAGTAAGTGATAGATTAGAGCTGGAAAGGATTGTAAAAGTAATCTAGCCAATCCTACTCCCTTCCAATTTTGCAGGTAAGGAAACTGAGTCCTGAAGAAAAGAAATAACTCGCTCAAGATCAGAGATAGTAAATAGGAGACCCAAGAGTCAAATCCAGGGTCTCAACCTAAGTCCAGAATTCTCCCTACACTACACCACCAAGTTCTTAAGAGAACTTCTGAGAAGTATACAATGAAATTCACTTAAAAACCATATATTTATAAATCACTACCACTTCAATATGGCAGCTAGGAGGCACAGTGGGTAGAGTGCTGGGCCTGAAGTCAAGAACACTCATTCAGCCTCAAACACTTACTAGATTTATGACCCTGAGCCAGTCACTTAACCTCAATTGCCTCAATTTCCTCATCTGTAAAATGAGCTGGAGAAGGAAATGTGTCTTTGCCAAGAAACAGAGTCACAAAGAGTCAAATACAGCTAAATAACAACAATCACCCTTTAATAATTCCCAGCAGACCCACAAAACTTTCACTGAAAACCGCAACTAGTGTTAGGTGCATGCCTCATTGCATTCTAATCTACTACATTGTGGAATCTTAAGGACTATTATTTAGAGAGGTAAAGGGCTTCCATTTGCCTGACTTTCCAATGGAGAAAATAAATGTTATGTGAATGTATACACAAAAGAGATATCATTAGGGTGATAATTACAAAGCAGATTTCTCTTTGACCAGGTATAGATGGATGCCAGAATTAATGAAATAGCAGCCAGTGGTGCATGTACTAGCTACATTGTTTAATCTATTTTAATTAAGCTAAAGACATGTGGTTTCATGTGAAGCCCACTGAAGAGGTAGCCAGAGACCTAGTGTGTTCTATTAGCAGCTCCAGCACTGACTCATTAATGGTCCCATGTGAATCACTTAACCTCTCTGGGTCTGTGTGTGTGTTGGTAAAGAGAAGATAATGATGCTTACTGTCTCCTTCCCAACTTTGCAGAGCAGAATAAAAGTGTCATGTTTTTCAAGGCCTGTCCCTGCTCCATCCCACTCCTAGGAAGAAAAGGCTGGAGGCAGGGTCTAAAAAGTTTTCCAGGTTTCCTCTTTGCCCAAGCATATTTGCCCAAGGAAACATATCAAAAAGGCCTGGTTAGAAACAGAGGAGTGTCAGTTTGGAAGAAGGAAACTAGTTCTTGTTCTGTAAAGATGTTTAGTACCCATTTCTCTATTGGAAATTCCATACAGTAGCCTTTAAAGAAGACATTCCCTTCCATTCTCATCATCTACAACTCTTCAACCCAACTCGTGTAAGTTACCTTAGTGCCCTTAGGAACAACATCTAGAGCTTCCTTGCTTGAACCCCTGTCCTTTGATTTTAGCTCTACTCTCTGATTTTCTCACAATTCAATCAGTCTTCTAGTCCATAAGCCTGACTGTTCCCTTAATCTTTAACTTTTCATGATCTAAATCACTGACCCAAAATTGTATAGTCTATATCTAGGCCCTTTGGTTGACTGGTCTTAAGCATTATAGCCAAAGTTATTATAAGCTAAGCCTTTAAGATTGAACCTAATCCAGAGCTCTAGTTTTGGACATTGTTACATATTATAGTCTAGGTGGGTGTGTGAGAGGACCTCATACATGTGTCTTTATTTGTGTTGTCCATCTTAGGCGGTAAAGTCTTAGAAAGCAGAAGTTACATCTTAATAATATCTTCACAATAATTCAATCATGGAATTTCAGAATTGGAAGGGACCTTATTGGCCATTTAAATCAATTCTTACCTAAAAAAAAAAATCCCTTACACATTCTGAGGAGTATTCATTCAGGCTTTAGTTGAAGACCTTAAGTGAGAGAGAACCTGCCACATCCCTTGGCAACCCATTCCATTTTTGTATAGTTTTAATTGCTGGGAAGTTGTTATTGTTGTTATTTTTTTTCCCTACCAAACCTCTTGGTAACTTCTATTCATTAGTCTTAGTTCTGTCCTCTGGGGCAAATTGAACAAGTTTATACCCTCTTCTGTGGGATGGTCCCTTAAATACTTGAAAGTAGTTATGTTAACCCTCTCTTCAAATATATCCTTTTCCAAACTAAACACCCCTAATTCCTCCAACTGCTCCTCATACAGAATATTTGAGGCTCTTGACCTTCCCCTGGAAACTCTGCAGTTTATCAAAGTCCTTCCTAAAGTGTGGTACACACTGCCCCAGCAGGGCATACAATAACTCTGCAGAGGTGGTCTGCCCACAATAAATCTTATTCCTGAATGTTATTCCTCTCTTATGAGGAATACAAGTAGCTTTCTCAACCCCCTCAAAGAAAAAGCCCCTCCCAGGGAAGCTGACTCATTCAGTCTGAGTAAGATCAATAGAAATGACTCAAAGCCCCCTTGCCAGTCAGAAAGTTTGAATTTCCCAGGAGTCTTACCTCCTCCCACTCCTCACTAGCTTGA